GCTTCTTTCTACTATGAGTCTCTGGAAGAGCGAGAGGACGGGAGAAATAGATCGCGGCGTTTCCTCGCACGCTTCAAAATTCTCTGACACCCTTCAGTCATCTCGTGTTCTTCTCAACTCGATGATAGTGCTTTACATCCTCAAAGTACTTTCTACATGTTTAATGACTTCATCATTTAGATTCAAGCCAAAATTCCTCCACTCATCTTTATGACTCAAAATTTCTTAAAGTAGTTCAAATGATGTCATTACAGGTAGGGCTTTGTGAGGGCTTCCTTTAGAGAAGCTTCAATTAGCAGGGCCTTATCAATATTGCAGGTGGTGGCTTTGAACATCTGCAAAGTGAAATTTCACCACTGCCCACCCAAGACCATTTTAGTCTGCTCTCCAAGTTGAGAGGCTGTCTCCGTCCCAAGATAGAGAACTGGTATTTTCACTGCGTCAGGCAGAGGACAACCGTGTTGTGCTTGTCTCCCTTGCTTTTTACCTACATCATTTGTACAGTGGTTTTTGTTTTCATAAGGTGCTTTTACCACGTTTCTAGGACTTTTGGATGAATGGCTGCCTGTAAACACAGGAGATGCTCTGGTCCAGGATCTCTCTTCACGTCCTAGGGTTGTTGCATTTGTAGCATAGACACAACCTCTGGCCACGTCTACCTTAGACCTGAGCCACGTTTGATACCCAGTGACAACCATGAAGCCTGCTGCCTTATGTAGTAGGAAAAGTCAGATTTTTGATTAACTCCAGTCCATTTAGAGAAGCATGCAAACACAAGCCAAAGGGAAAAGGTGGATAAGTAACTGATACTTTAATGTTTTTTTCCACAAGTAACTGATGAAAGGTGCTGGCTTGACAGGCCTGGAGAGGAAAGTCTCTGCTTGTTTAGAGATCAGGTCTGGCACAGGCAAGCTTTCTCCTGCTTTCCCATTAAGATACCTCAAATCAGACTTGCAAAAACCACTTCTGCCTACTGCACCCCCTTCGGCCTGTTCAATGTTTGACTTCTCTGAGCCCGTAGGGAGGCCTGTTGTAATGATGGATTTTGCAATGTGGATTGAAAGTGGCAACCTAAAGGTGAAAGCCTCTGTATCAAATTACCAGTCGCCTGAGCCATCCAGCCCCCCAGAAACGGACTTTTCACCATCAACAGTGGAAAGATTTGAGCCACATGTTTTGTTTGTCAAGTATCTGCACAGTGAATTAATCCATGCTGGATGGCTTCGTGCTTCAGTGAGAGTTAATGCAGCTGGACAGTACGTAACGATGGCGTTTGTTCTGTAAAAGGGTTTCTTAAAGGAAGACATTAAGCTTGGAAGCAAAATGGTTTTATGGTTTCAGAGCAGGAAGAGGGTGGGAGGAAAGGCTTTATAGGTCACATGCACATTGTCTTCCTGCAAATGTAATGATTTGATTATAAAGCCTTTCATGGCAATGCTCATTTCTCTCTGTTTGTGCAGCGCCCAGCAAAATAGGACCCCACATCTGACTGGGACCTTTGGATGCAGCGGTCATATAAACATTTCCTAACACTGTTCCAGGAACATGCGTGTATTTTCTGCCATTTGGGAGAATTATGTTCAGATTTTACCTTTTTTCTCCTTTTCAATAACAATAGCAACTTAAAGAAAGTTGCCTCGTGGTAGACTCTCAAGTGGTTATATTCTCAGGGTGATGCCTGGATGGTTGTACATAATTCCTCCTGCATGTCTGTAGCAACCCCACATCAGAAGCAGGTTTCCTACAAGGGATGTGCACAATCATCAAGTCTAGATCTGTCCGCACAGTGGTTTTCCACCAGTGTAACCCTGCAGAACTGAGCAAAGCGAATCCAGATGTGCAGAGGTGCGACTGAGACAACTGGGGCGTCGCTTGTAGTCCTTCTGTTTAGACATCCCGGCCTGCAGGTTTGAGGGAGCATTTGAATGTTACTTTGCTTAAATGTTCATAGGTGCCACCACTAGATATTTGATGTTCTGGATTGGATTCACTACTAATTACTAGGTCCAAGCCATTTGTCATCCATGCTCCCACCTTCTGTCCAGTCAAAGTCTGGACTGTATAGTGAACAGACGCTGCCAAAGTCAAGTAAAAAGTATCCGGTGCTGTCCCAGGAAGGGGTCAGGAGCTCTTCTGAGGTTCAAACAGAGCCTTATGTCAGCTTGCAGATTTAATTATCCTGCCTCCTAGCTCTAGGCAGCAGGTTTGAAACACTCAGTGGTGTTTGTGCTGGATGTATTTCTAATTACTAAAGTAATTCCCAAAGATCCATCTCTCAGATGGGAAAATGTTGAGGGAAAATTGTCAAAAAATGTTGGAAGAGCGATTCTAGAGGTCAGAGGTGTAAGAGAAATACATAGGTGTGACTGCATCACTTGTCGCAGTATTTCCAGATGGAGATGCAGGTTCTCGGCACAAGCACAACAGCACAGCTCCAGATTCGTGGCGGTGACTCAACTGGTGTGACATTAGATCCACTTGTGCTCCAAAGCAGAATCCGACTCCGTCACTGTCTGCTGCCAGATGGAGCTGTTACCTTAAGAACTTTGTCCTGGCATTTATTGGACCCTCTCTGAAGCTCCTTCAACTGAGACTTGCAGAAAGAAAAGCATTTCTCTTTCCCAGAAAGCTAGAGAAATCATTTCTTTCCATAAAAGCGACATCAGGTGTGAGGCAGAAACCTCTACTGGGCAAGAACCACAGCTGGGAGTCTGGCAAGCCAGGTACCGGTACCAGCTCTGCTGACTGCGAGCTGTGTTAAGTAAAGGGCTTAGTTGCGGTCAGGAACTGTGATGCCCAACTTTCACGTGGTTAGTCTGGAAATCGAATCCAGATTCTAGAGTTAGAGACCTTGGCTCCTCCTTCAGTGCAAGGGACCCTCCATCCACTCGGGATCCCGGTCTGGAAATCCTCCGAGGACAGGTATTACATCCATCCATAGAAGGAACTGTGAGTGGGGCTCTCTGGTCTCTTCGAAAATGCAATGAAAAGAAAAGATTACCACCTTTGTGTACATGCCTAGTGGTTAGAGCACTTGAAAGACATAGGGACACCTAGGCTCTACCTTTCTTCACCCACGGTTCCCACCTCCTGACAGAGAGCCATGTTCACCAGACTACCGGCTATGCCGAGGGGGGTCGCTGTCCCGCTGAAGCTGTGTCGCCAGGCAAACGGGAATGCAAGATTCGTGCAGCCACTGAGCTGGGGTTTTCCGGATACCAGAATTGGACTTGGTGCTTATACCTGCTTTAAGACCTGCCTTTATTTTTTGTAACCTTGGTGAAGTCATGTTTCCCTGTGCCCAGTGCTTGAAGAGCTCTGACTTTTGAAAAAGTATTGTTTTTTAATACAAATTAATCTTTAAAAGCATATATGCTTAAAAGAATATCTTCTGATTGTATACGGGGGGGTAGGGGGAGAAACTTGTGGAAACCGAGTACCATGAAGGACGCACATCTATTTTTCAGTTGTAACTGTTGAACAGCAGTTCCCTATCCTCTTCAAAATAATTATGGGGGGGAGGGAGGGAGGGGGGGGAATTTGTCTGATCATTTTTATTCATGAGTGCGTATAAAAAGGTTAGAGAGACCATAAATATGCTGATGGAACTTTTTTCTTCTTTTTTTGGTAATATCCTAATCATCTGTAGAACGCTCATCAATACATTAGTTACACTCATTAGTGCTACTGCCAGTGGTAGCAAGGATATTTTGAAATATCTTTTAATGTTTCTAACCAGTATCAATATAGAGAATAAAGGGAGCGGCAGCGCTGTTCGGGTGGATTTCCATCTCTTCCTCACCCAGGACACCTGCTCCCTCTCCCTCCCCCACCCTTCCAGCTGTCTTTCTGTTTCATTTGTGTCAATTAGAGATTCAGTGCTGCTTGATTTAATTGGCTTGACTTTCCCCTCTAATAGAATCCCAACTGGAGACAGGGCACCCAGACAGCTCTCGGCCTGCCGGCCGACGGACCAGGAAAAGAGCTTCCAAGTCGCTAAGACGGAGCAACAATGGCAGAGCGAATGACAGGCCTAATAGCTCTGCGTTTGGGATGGTTGTAACCTGTTATAGAGCAAGACACAATAACCTCTCTGAATCTGAGTGGAAAGGTCAGTGACTATGTGGGTGATGACACCCTCTCGATAATGTCATCTGAAAGCTTGGGGATGCATGAATGATTCAAGAATTTAGAGTGCTTTTCATGCACCTTGGACTGACTCTGGTTTTAAATCAGATGAGCTCCTCCCCTGCTGTGTAGTTAGAGACTCCTTATCGGCAGTACAATTGTTATCCTGCTACTAGGCCCGGTTTTGGGTCTCTTGAAGACAACAGCAAAATGCCTGTTGATTTCAGGGGTACAGGATTAGGCCCTTAATTGCTGATTTGCCTCCAGGCAAGGCTGACCTTAGGCACAAGGAAAGTGAATGGCTGATTGGTGTCATGATCCCGTACAAAGGCCCCAATATTAAGAATTACACTCTCATCTACTAGGCTTAGCTCTATAAAAGGAGGCCCCATGTAGGAACCGGGAAGTCATTTGTTCTTGAAGGGAAGATGAGATCTGCCCATGAGCTGCTCTGCGTGGGTTTCCCAAGCAATTGCTTGCAAATCTATCTGTGCAATATGATACTGTTCCTCAGCTGCAACCCTCCCTTCCTTTTAGACTCTGGTGATACGAAATAGCTCGAGAAGCTAATCCTTTCGTGTTTCTGCCACCCCAACAACAAACCCCAAACCTGCTCTTAAATCACCCTGGCAGCCGGGAACTAAATGTATGTTTGCTTTTTTTTTCCCCCCTAAGCAAAATCAGATCCTGGAAATCAGATCCTCGTGAATGTGCTGCACCAAAGCTACAATCTGAGATTAAATGAATTTATATTAGGGTAGTGGCGGCTTCACAGTTGGAATACAAATGCACTTTCTCTTTCCATGTGCAGGTGCATCGAGATAAAAAAAACAACCCATAAACCACAAATTAGACACAAGTGTAAATATTGTTACAATTTAGTTTATTACCTCCAAAGTACGCACAGGTTTCTGCATAGAGTGTTTACAAATTTGAGAAGGCCTCCCCCAACTAGATTCAAAATTACATGCTCTCCTTCACAGCTGAAAAAGGGGAAATCAAATTACAGCATTTCTTATTCCATCAAAGGGCATTAGCCCTGACATACTACAGGACTTCGAGAGCTATTACGCCTCGCAGACCTTCTAACTACTGAGCACAGGGCAGCCTTGTGCAAATGCTGATTGGCCGAGGCAAATCAGTTATAACTAAATCATGCTTTTTTTCATGCTAAGGCCGGGCAAGCACGTTTTAGCCTAGACTGGGAAATTTCCGGAGCAGTTGTCCAAGGACGGTGCATTTGTGTGTGTTACATTTCTAGGAAGACAGGCGGTGAGGGGCTGGCACAGGTGTACGGAACAGAGGTGACAAAACTCAGTGCTACAGATCTCGAGTGGTAAAACCCCATCCCAGACCTCTCCACTGCCATCGATGCTTCAACAGGAAAGTGCCCAGCATTACAAGGAGCATCCCCTCTTGGCTAGCAAGCACTGCGACCGTTGCCACCAGGCTGGGCAGCCAGGCTGGTGGGCTGATGGGTGGCTGACAATTTTCTGGTTTCAAATTAAACAGAAAACTAAATTAGCAAATTAATTGTTTGCCATGTTTTTCTTAGGCCCTTCTCAGCTGCCTCAGGTCCTGCAGCCAATCCAAAGAGCCCTTTCAGCGCTCTCGAGGAGGAGGTGGAGCTCTGTCTTGAGTTGTGCTATCTACCAAGTGTCAGTCATGTCGATTTTAAATTACTTTTGTACGGCTTGGTGTCAGAACGATTAAAGCATGAAAAGAAAAATGGAACCAGAGAGAGAGTGTGTGAATGAAAATTTACCTTGCATTTACTGCAAGGGCATTTACATTTCTCTTTAACTCCTACACCCCGAGAGCTGTGCAAGGCCAGAACTTTTATCTCCTACAGCCTAGCCTGTTGGGGGGATCTGACGTGCAGGCAGGTGCCGTGAATCTTCACGACATGCAAGAAGGCTATAAAACCCCATGTTTGCAGCATAAAACCCAGTAGGTTCTCTCTGTCTTTCCCTGTGCTGCATTTGCTATTTTGCCCCTACACAGCAATCGGTGACCTAAACTGACAAACCCATGTGCCCCTGAGCAGACATTTTCTCCTTCTCGGCGTCAGGCTTGCAACCATACTTGTTCTATAACATACACATACTGTCCCTAATAATTATGCTCTCAGCGAATATAAATGCATTATCATATACTGCCTGGTATGTGCGTGAAAAATAAGTGTGCCTTTGACTCCTTCCACATGCTTTCTCCCTACACATAGGAACAGTCTAGAGCCAAGTCTCGTGCACTCTCCCACACTTGTATACTAAATCACACAGTAACCCATCCATGCGCTTTTTCATCAGGCAAACCCTGGTTTGGTTTCTTTTTTCATCCTATTCACCATTGCTTTCACCTTCCAACAACTGAACTTCCTGATTAACAGTCATCCAAACATTCTCCTGAAGCTGCTGTTTGCAGGGAGTCAGAGAAACCTATAAAAGAGGGCAACCTCATGTCCCCTGAAAAGATACTACTGGTCAAGATTAACTACTCCTGCCCCCATTTACTTTAGCATCTCTCCCCATTATACAGATGAACTTCCTTCCATCAAGAACAAGGTTGTAAGCATTTTGAATTCTCTTTTGCTGAAGAAACTGACACCATCTCGGTAAGGCAGACTAGGTTCAAGGCAAGTGAAGTTGACCAAAGACCTCTTCCATTGGATCCACCCGTCTGATCTATTTAAACAAGTTGCGACTTCCAGGCTCCATATTGCTAATGTTGAGTACATGTACACGCCACAATATTTGCCCTTTCATGTGCTGCAACTGTTGCGTGTCTGTTTGCACGAGCAGGATTTCCTGACATTTTAAAAGTCTTTCCAGCACATTAAAGTAAAGCTCCTTGGACGTAGTTGTTAGCACTAACTCACAGCAAAGAACAATTTCTGTCTCATCAGGTTTTGCAGTCTGAGCACTGCGCTTGGATCACAGTGACGCGCCATTCCAGATCTATCACAGAGTCGAGACACAGAAGTTTCTTTTTCATTGATAATGGCAGTTCCCTCTGAGGATGAATCTTCTTCACCTGCAGACTGGCAAACAGGTCCATTTCATTTACATGTCTTCCTTTTTGTGGAAACTCTCACAGGCCTAGTATTAGGTCTGGAAGATAAACAGCAGCTTCTCTTGTAGTGTGAGAGTTTGAGTGGATACCTGTACAGAGCTAGCACCTGCACATCTATGAAATACTCTTTCAGATACTCCAGGCTGAATTTTCTTCCCTCATGTGCAGTTATAGCAAAAATACATCTATGTAGAAAAAACTCATTCTTAGCTTGCATATCTAATCTGTTTGGAAGCACAGTGATCTGTTCTGACTTAAGTGACTAAAAAAAAGTTTAAAATGGTTTATTCCAGGAACTGTACCTTTGAATTCCTGCCATTCATTTCAAATGACAATGTCTAACCACATTTTAATCAATCACATCAGGGAGCCACTGTCTTGTCTCTCTTCTCTTCTGCGTACACTTGCAGTGTTTTTGGATTTCCATTCTTTATTTGGCTGTACTTTATCTTTTAACCTTGTAAACCCCCTCATGCAATGGGACATCTCGCTGTTAGTGTAAACTGTTCAGCTGGCAGTGGAAAGGATTCCACCCAGGATAAGGATGTGCTATAAATTCCTCAGTGGTAGACATCTTATCCCCTTGAAGAATTTAATCCTGAGATCATTCAAGAAGAATGGTTGTCATGGAGCATGCAGATAAAATGATATTATTTTCCCTTCCCTTATTATTTAAACAACAAAATTACATTTATTACAAAAGAACCAGTGCCAGGATGTGATGAATTCTTGGCAGCTTGGTAACTTTCTTCCTCCTGAATTGGTTTATAGGACTGTGAAGACAAGACCTGGCATAATCAAATTAGGTTTCTTAATCTCAATTGTTTTGGACAGGCTAGTTATACTTGCACCAAAGAAAGGCATGTATGGGTAAACTATTGGCATGTAGCTGATAAACTTTTAGCTTTTAATGCTTTCATGGCAGAAAGAAAGCAGCAAAAGGCTTGTCCAGTAAAAAAAAAATTGAGATACAAGACGCTTTGCACTAAGAATGGACTGGAGACTAAAATTATTTAAGTGCAACACAGACGGAGAGAAATTAGCTAAGAACTTTAGCAAGGATTTGCATGTCAGGGGGGCTGGGAAACACCAGGATAGATCCAAATAAGGTTGTGATGATTATAATGATGTGCGATTATAATGATGCTTTTTGTGCCTACCCATGAGGTTCTTTCAGCAATTCAGTTATCATTCCCTTTATTTTCTGGATAATGTAACTTGGCTGTAAAAATGCTCACTGAACTGAAATGTGGCACGTGATATCAGTCGCACGGGAAACAAAGAAACATTTAAAACATTGTTATGTTTAAAAAGCAATTCCTTTTCTTAACCAGTTACATACCCACCTTATAGCCCTTTAGACTGCATTTCTTTATCTCATTAATGTGAATGTAATGGGAGACAGGGTCAAAAGGCTCAGTAAAATCAAGGTTCATCACATCCACTGCTCTCCCTCCAGCCAGAGACTGTCACTTTGTCATAGAAGGAAACCAGGTTGGTCAGGCATGGCTTTCTCTTGGATCCATGTTGGCTGTTCCCAATCATCTTGTTCTCCCACAGGTGCTTAATCAGATTCCTTGATGACCTGCTCCATGATCTTGACAGGCATCAAGGACAGATGGACTGCCTGTAATTCCCTCTATTGTCTTTCTTCCCTTTCTTAAAAATGAGCATTGTGTTTGCTTCATCCCAGAGGCAAGAAGAGCAAGGCCACAGCAGGTCAGATCTCACCAAATGTTGTCAAGGTGTTCTCACAGAAAATGGCTAATGGCTCTGAAATTATCTCAGCCAATTCTTTCAGTACTCTAGAAGTAACCCTGGGCCTTCCTGGTTTTCTCCCAGTTTCCCTGTGCAATACTTTTAGACTCCTCCTGAGTAATAGAGCCAAATTTTCACTTTTTATAAGATTCCTTTTTGAGATTCAACTCACTGAAGATCTTGCTGTTTAGCCAAGCTTGTCTTCTGTGCACTTCCTGTCCTTCTTAAGTATTTTGGAATTATACATTTGTCTTTGAGTGCTCCTGTAATAGAAATAATAACATTGTTCTAAAGACATGAGATAGTTCTCTGACAGAAAAACAGATACTAGAAATAGCAATGAACTCCGGTCATTAAAGCTCACAAAGGTTTTTAATCCTGCAGATTTGGGAAGCATCTGAAATTCTATGCTTTTCTGAATCTATGTGCATTCATTTAAGTTACTTGATGCCACTGCTGCCATCATTTGAAGGGATGGGAGCTCCAAGTCGACAGACTAAACAATCTGCACATTAAACATTTCCTAAAACATACCGGTACGCATCACCATCCTTTGCTTGGCCGATTGTTTATGGCATAGCAGGTAGAACATTGTTGACAGAAGTTATTAATTTATGACTAATCGTTAGGATATTCAGTAGGGCTTAACCTTGCACTCTTTTCTTCTCAGCAGCACAGATTGAAGAGCAGGGGTGGAGAATGCTTCCCCACCCAACTTAGCAGATAGCCAGGCCGTTAGGGTCTGACCTCCCACAGGGTGAGGAAGGCCTAAAACCCCGGTCTTCCACCTCCTTATGAATGCTGTAACCACTAAGCTACTAGGAAAGGTGGGTCACAGCTTCTCTGCCTGTATTTTAAAACAGAAGAGTGAGACCTGCTCAATACTTACCAAGAGCAGATGCAGGCGTCTAACCTCCAGAGGGGCTCTGGAGGGTGAGCACACACGGGTTTAAACGTGTGCCCCGGCTCTGGTACCTAAGCTCTGGAGAGGAGTGGGAGCTCAGGCACACTCCTGTGCCTAGTATTTCCTACTAACTTAAGATGGCTTTTTACTCCTTCTGTATGTTTTTTGGATCACCCTTGTGGGAAGCCGCTCTCCGCGTTCAATGTACCTAGCACCCAATGCTGTTTTGAATTCCACTCTGGGGACCAGGCACCTAAAAGCTACTGTTTTAGTGCCTAGCATATAGTTACCTAAATCGTCTACTGGACATAGCCCAGGATCTTGTTTAGCCTTCATTATCAGTTTGGACAACAACATTTACATGTAGATTATAGTGGGTCTCTATTAGAATACATGGCCTTGGCCCAAAGGCAATGGATGCTTGCTGAAGATGTTGAGCATCTAGGAGAACTCTGTCATACAACAATTTCCGTGGAAATGCTTGTTCCCTAATAGGATTTGGAAGGATCTACTTGCTAGAATTAATCTTACTTTTCCAGGTAATTCCATTATACGTTGCCTATTTTTATTGGGTGCAAGCCCCAAATCACTGAAACTCTCGCATTTAGCAGAGAAAAGGTTTATTTGATGGCTAAGAAAATAGCATTGCAACAGTAGAAAAAAACAACAGCTTCACTCTTACAGGAGTGGTGCAGTGGACTATGGGAATTGATGTGTCTGGAGAGAGTGGCTTATAAAAGGCAACAAGCTGGGGACTGAGAATATAAGGTCTTTATTTTTGGACTGTTGAGCAGAATAACTAATCTTCATATTCAATGCACGGTACTGCAATACAAAATTGAGAATTACTGTCACTGAGATTACCTGGAGCGTGCATCTCTGTATCTCTATCAGTAGGCTTTCCCTCCCTTCCTATTTTATTCTTCATTTTTCCAGGGGTGTTAGCTCTGACTTTTCAGTCTTCGTCTCCTCTGGAAATGTGCTTTTAAAAAAAAAAAAAGCAATGTAAAGAAAGGAAATGAAATGATGCATCATTCACAATTAAGGCTCAAGAGGAAGGCTGGTCCAGTGCTTAGCGTGCCAGCCAAGGGCTCAGGAGCTCCGCTTTCGGGTTTATGCGTTGACACATTCCCTGTGAGACCTTTGTAAAGTCTGTGCCTCAGTCCCCACCTATAAAATGGTACTATTTCTTTCCAGCACAGAGATATGGTAGGCCTAAATATGCTAAAAATTATGAAGTGCTTGGATACCAAGGTAATGGAAGCTATCCAAAATAGAATTAACCTAAAAAGTCCTGGCACTTCTGAATTCTCATTTAATATTCATGCTGTGAGTTCTGCTAGTCTTCCAGGACGGCGCATACTACGATGAGTTTAGTGGAACTTGCCGTATAAACCTAATAGTGGGGACAGAGTCCTGTTCCTAAAAGTGATTCAAGTTCCCTTGCCTTCCTCTGGCCGCGAGTAAAAACTGTGTGCGTGTTTATAGAGCTAGCACCATACACCTGCAGTACCTGCAGTTTGCAGAAAGCCTTCTACAAAATCGGGTCCTAATGTGTTTTAGCCCGGTGAGAAGCGCGTGTTTATCGTTTGGGAGTTGCAGGTGTAAGGAGGTATCGATGTGCGCGTGGATGAGGAGCCCACTGTATTTAAAGCGAGCAAAGAAACATGCGTGTGTGAGGCGTAGCACTATTATTTGCCATCCTTCACGGAAGGAAAGACGTGAGCGTCGGGGGTTATTTTCAACATCTGTATCGGGGGGGAGATGCAGGAGCGCACGGGAGACTTGTTGGACTTCAAGAGAATAATGTTAACATTTCTAGGCATCTATCTAGGTATCAATGCTCATTGTGGCAACGGCATTGTCTCCCTGGCTTTTACCTATGGCACGTTGAGGATCTTCCTCGCACTTGTGATTGCGCGCCTCGCAGTTGTGCGTGAGGGTTTGAAGTGACAATCTTGACGCGGCGTCCTCGAGTCGATGACTGCCCGCAGACGACGGGGACCAGACTCAGGCGGCCTTTCCCGT